CCTAGTCTCCAGCGTAGTAGTCAGGCACCTAAGCACCTGCGCTACGCAGCGGTTCTCGAAAATATTACTAACTTAACGGTATATAAGCTACACTTCGCTATATAATTTAAATCGAGTTTTCTCGAAAATGGCTGAGAGGTGCGCCTTATCCTTTTGCTCAAGTATTCTTCTAATAGAGTAGAGCAAAGGAAAAAATCCTTCGGCAGTTACAAATAAATAAATAAATAAATTCGAACACTGTTATAATTAAAAACTTTGTAAGAGACATACGTTCGGTTATCAAAAAAAAAAAAACAGGTACACAAAGAATTACACAATTTAATAACTGGTTTTTTTATAATGCAATATATATAATATAATAATATATAATAATAAAATAATGATAATATCAACTAATAAAGTGTTATTAAATATATTATACATATACAATAGCTTCGCACGTTCGTAATGGTTTTTCATGTCCATTATCAGGAATCATTATTGTTCTGTAGTAGCAAAGATTTTATGTAAGTAGGTGAGTCCTCTGTATATTGCAATCGCTCGAATTACACAACAAGAAGAAGAAAATAACTAAGGAAAAATACATTTCTTGGCTTGTCATGTTAAATGTAAATTTTCTCTTCGTTCAGAGTTTCTTTGTTCGCTTCACTGATTGTCACTATAATAATTTACCTCAGTGTTTTATTTAAAAAACAATCTACTAGCATGTATATAATACTACTTCAGCCATACCATACGTCAGTCGTCTTTCGAATTGTCTTAAAATGTCACAAGATTCAAAGTGGCGTATTCTTGTAAATTAAGTAAATAACTGTTTGTCAACATAAAATTGTCTTAATTACACGAAGTAGACGTGACAAATGCAACAATTCTGTTATCAACTCGAAAACTTCAAGTGCAAAAACATAAAATGAACACGTATCGATAGTCAAGTTCGTACGTTCGACTTTATTTTTCCAAACAAAAGTAGAAAAACAATCGAAAAATACATTTATGCAGAACTATCTCGATTTTATGTTTTGTTCAACAGAATATATCACATTGATAGCAAATTTTAGATTTATATTTTAAAAAGTATACTTCGTCGAAATTACGTATTGTTGACAAAAAGTTATTTACGCGAAATACCAAATACAAAAACGATTCATTTCTACGTATTTCCTTGCTTTTACAATCTTGAGTGGTAGCTATTAAAGTTACATCACCAATCTTTGAAGTATCGGCCTGCATTCAGAATAGCATGTCAAGTTTCCACGAAGAAACAATACTGTTAAAAGAGATAAATGTCATTTCAGTTTACCACGTAAATCGACGTGATATTATGAGATACAGTTTCTGTTGTATTTTTTTCTATATATACGTGATATTAACGTATTTTAATTTATTCACAACAAAAAGGATGCCCAATATGTACGTATAGGTATTAACTATAATAAAAACTTCACAATATTATGTTGATATTTGAGCTCTCAAATTTGGTAAAAATCGATCGTTACATTTTATTAATTTTTTTAACTTTTAAAATATCTGATTTTTTAGACTTTTGCTTCAAAAGTTTCTCCGAGTCCTTCGGCAAATTTCACAATTTCAGATTCGTTCCCTCCTTTATCGCTTATTTTAAAAAGTTGTACCGTTAAAAAAAAAAAACCAAATTCCTCAAATAAAACATCAAAAGTAAAAAAGATTACATACGATAGTGATACATATCAGTTTTGAGACATCCCGCATGAATATTCATAAATATCATATATATATTTATATATTATACGTATATATTTATGCATAGCAAAACTTTAAGTACATAAACTACCGTCTACTTCATAAAAAATTGTATGTTTATGTATTCTTAGATTCTTAGATCTTTCTATCCCAGGATTCTTCGTGTGTCCTAGGATATTGTCTTAATCGTTTAGAAAAAAAAAGTCTAAGAATATCCGTAGAATCTTCGGTTCGTATTCCGACCACACATTTTAGCGCAAAATCAGCAATTTCTCAAGCTGGGAGAAAGCGTGGTTCTCTTCTCGAGAGGTCAAACTTGAAATAAATCATTATCAACTCTAAAGGGCTTTCTACAATTAGATATTAGTAATAAATCAGAAGTCAGAAGCAAGAAATATTGACCAATCAAAGTCAAATCACAGAAGAATAATCGATTGTGATTAGTCAATTTCTTGCTTCTGACTTCTGATTGATTAATATCTTATTGTAGAAAGTCCTTAAATGTGAGCGTTCAGAATACAAATCCCTTAGATACCAGAATTCTTTATATGTTCGAAAACGGAGTTCTCAAAATTTTGACAGCTGTAAATTGTGCAATATATAAATTCACAGATCTTTTTCATGAAATTTAATAAATAGACACGTCCAGAGATTTCTCTTCGTCGAGTCTAAGAGAGGTTTTATCTTCTATCGAGAGATTTTCGTTTCTCTCTCTCGCGTATCGATATATTAAATATAAAAACAAACTTTATCTTAAAATCACTTACAGACAGCAAGTCTTTTTAATGTACAACTTTATAAGAGGGTTACAAAAACAAAAAAAACAAAAAAATTAAAATCAATTGCTCCTCTTTAAAATCTCACAACTAGGTTTCCATAATTTTGGTATGGAAGATTAAAAATTCACGCTGTCCAATTTTCAAAATTCAATATTTTACTGATGAGATTAAATAATAACCTGAAATAACAATTTCAGGTTTATATACTAGATGTGTTGATGTATATGCACGAAAACACTTGGAAGAAAAATTTTCAGAGAATAAGCTAATGAATACTAATTGATAGTAAAGCAGCACATATTCCTACAGATCTTTTGCGCATAATTTTGCTTTTTTTTTTAATATAAATCATTCTTAAATAATTATGATAATAATGTACAGGACTCGGTACGTAAAAATATAACAATACGATGATGTACAAAATAAGATTGTGAAAGATTAGTGCAGATTATGTAAATCCATTTACATAAAATCTTTGGCAAAGATATTAATCAGTGTGATCCATATTTTGGTAAATACAGAAACGAGATAAAAATTATCAGCTGTTTCTTAGTTTGATAGGAACTTGCGAGAAGAATTTCTTGTTTACGCGAAAACACAAGTTGTGTAACGAAAAAAAAAACGTGTTTTTGTTAACTTTCTCCGTAATTGTTATAAATTATTAGTAAACAAATTTACGAAGTATACGCATCGAATAATTTAGTAACTTATATTTCAAGCCGATAGTACTGTCCGATATATCAGCAAACAAACTCTTCTTTTGTGTAAACCTACAAATTTTGCAAAACACGTAGAAAATTACATTGCACAAAAACTCGACGATATGTATGCTCTCGTATTTTGAGGAACGAGAAACAAATCGAGATTTTTAAAGGGAAGCGTCGTTTGCATGCACAGTAAAGACAGTTTAGCGCATTAATTTCTATTAATTAAATAAGAAAAAAAGTAACAATATTAATGCACATTATATCAAATGTGATGAGAATTATCAAATAAATAAAACAGCTAATAACTTTTTCTACCTGTATGTAGTATATAGTATTATCGTCTGCGGTAAGCAATTACACGCCACAACGTCTCCCACATATACAACATATGTGTCAACCATTTTTTTTCCAGTCCGTTTACAAATAATTTTGATTTCTCTCGGTATGCGAGAGCGTTCCAGCACCGCTCGTGAAATGCACCAGATCAAGAAGAATATGATTGACGGAACGTGTTTTACTCTTGTCTCAACCGACACTGTCGCCCATCACTTCGGTTTCCGCCTCGATCTCGAGGTTTTCCGCATCTGCAGCCGCAGCTTCTTTTCCACGAGCATCGACGAATTCCTGTTAATATAAAAATGTTGGAAGCTGTATGTAAAACAAATTTAAATATGTTTCAAATAAAAAGATTTTAAGAATAAAAATTGTAAATATAAAAATATTGTTTCTAATTTCTAATCGAGTAGAGTAAATTTAGAAGAATTTTCTTACGTCACGACTGGTAGAATCGGTGCTAATATCTTGATGCACAGAATCGCCTGTAAAGATAACATATATGTCAGATTGCAATGAATACGCATTCGCTCAGACATACGTATCTTCTAGAACACATAATCGCGCGGTTATAAAAAAAAAAAAAAAAAACCAATTATAGGAAAAAGCAAAGAAAATAAAGGACTGACCGAGTGCTGTTTGCGTATGAGTCGTCCTGGTTATTGCTTCCGAGAATTCACGACGCTGCATGTCACTGTCGAGTGCATGTATGCGTTCTCTGCTTCTACGCAATTCTTTCCGTAGTTTCTCCCGTTCGTCCTCTCGTTCCTTTATAATTTCCTGCAATTCATTTGACAATTTCGAAGATATTCGAAAAAATTAAACAGAATTCCAATCAAAATGGAGAAACTCGCCATCTTATTTCGTCAGAACGATAAATGTAAACAAACGTGCTTTTAAGGATATTAAATAAATAGTTCTTTTGTGCGGCTATAATATTTACCAGGAGTTGTGACATCTTAGAAAGTTGGGACGTGAGATAACTGCAAATCGGTTGCATCATCCCCAATGCCGTTTGCTGGGAGTGTTGTGATTGACTTCGCTGAGAAGGGCAACCGGTAGCTTCGCACGCGGGAGACGACACCGCTGATGCTGCGCGCGACGCGTATATTGTCTCCGTTTCGCTCACGTTCAATACGGAATTCACCATCCCCACCACCTGATCCGCTATAAAGAAGATAAAATTCAAGTGTGTTAATGAGTAGTACAAACGCTTTTAAAAAAACTGTAAAAACATAAAATATATAAGTCAAATAAATAACATCTTATTCAAATGTTACTTAGAAGATAATTTTTAATTTTAATGATAAATACTTTGACTGATAATAGCGAGTATGAGTTCGGCAGGTTCCTTGTTCACAGTGGATGGTTCAGACGCTATGTCTGCCACGTGCTCAAAATCTTCCTTCGGAATATTTAATATATCCGCCATCAATAACTGCTTCTCTACCAGAGCCTGTTTAATTATTTCGTCCTTACGCCTCAAACATTCTGAAAGAATTTCAAATTTTCACGTTAACCACCTATTTTTGTTACTACATTATATGTTTTTAAATGTTGTTTAAATAAAAACCACCAGTAGTTCGCGTCATTGAAAAGAAAGAAGATCGTATCTATTTGTACCTATTGGTGTAAGCACCGGCTCGGCAACATGCACAGGTGGTACCTCAACATGAACCTCTAATGGGTCTATCAAGGAGAGTTGAGTACACGTGACCATCCGCAGTGGTTCTGCTATGCCTGTATGTATGATTGTTGACAATTTAAAAATTAAACTTATTTCATTATTAATCAAAGTTAAATATATTAAAAATTTTAACCCGTGATTGGTGATCGCTGCTGTGTTTGTTCCGTCGTTGCGGGAGTTTCTGTAACAACGTTTTCCGGCGTCTCCTCGTTGGGTTCTTGAGCGCTGGCGGTGCTTCGATTTCCGGATTCCTTCGATTCTCGATCTTGCGACTGGTCCTTCTCGACGACGTCGTCCATTTCAGTTCCGGAAGACTGCGCGTCCTCCATCGTTTCCGCCGGTTCCTCCGGAAGCGAAGTGGGCGGCGTCGGTCTTCTGCCGCCTTTGGAAGTCCGCGCGGCGGAAGCCTCCACGGCCTCGGAGATGTATTTGCACCAGTTCAGGCAATCTTGGGCAGTTGGTGCTATCAAGTTGTACATCTGCGCACCGTGCTCCGCGGTATTGACCAAGTAGAGAGAGTCTTTTTCGGCAGCGTTAATACGCACCAACACATTCGTCAGCCTGAGAATCGGACTGAGCACTGAGTTGCCTGACTGGTTCGCCTGATTCATGAATTTAAGCATGTACTTCTCATCCTGTCGATGCAGGAGGAAAATTATGTCGTCCAACAGCACCACATGCAAATCCACCGGCTTCGGCATCGAACGATTCGGCATCGATCGATTCGGCTCGGCGCGTCGCCACTGCAACGGTCCCTCGTAAATCAGCTTGCGCTTCGTGATATCAAGATTCTTGAACTCCTGCACGCTCGGATGATCAAATTTGTCAAAAGATGATCGATCGACCATTCGTTGAATCTCCACTAGTCGTTGGTAATCCTCGGCCTCCTTTACTGCTTGATTCACGCAGCTCAAGATCTCCTTGCTTCGCTCGAGACTGCGTAGCACGGCGGCCTTTTCTTTTTCGTTACTCTCCGGAGTGTACTTGGCGAGATTTTCGAAGAGAAGCGGATACTTGGTAAGCCGCAGCATACCGGTGAGTATGTGATCCTTCAATTGAAGCCTACGGCAAAGCGGATTAGCCTCCACCTCGTTCAGGAAGGAATTCAGCTTCGAATCCTTACGACGCCGATCACGCAGAGCGTCTAGAGCGACTTGCTGCTTAGCGCAGTAGGTCGACGCGGCTCTTTCGAACACCTCGCCAGCCTCGCCGTCGAACATTTCCAACAGAAGATCACCCACGTCGCCCACGCACGGGTTCTCCTTCTTCTTTCGTTTCATAGTTTGGTTGAAGCGCGAATGGATCATCAACATCTCGTCCAGATTCGAGAAGAGCAGATGAATCTGATCCAACGGCAACACCTGAGATTCCAGCAGAGGCTTATGGAAGACGTGTGACAATACTTTCAACGCGCGAACGTGAGAGCGTTCGGTGTGAAATAATTCTGAAAAAAAAAAGAAGAAGACAAAAGTGCTTTCATTAGGCAGCTAATACGAACGTGACGCAAAAAGAATTAAGGATCAGTCATTTACGGCCATGGATGATAACGATAACTGGAATAAAAAGATGTCGAAAAAAAAAGTGCATTATTAATAGGACGAATCGATAAAGCTTTTAAATGTATCGGCTTTTTCAACGCGGGATCGTGTCAATGTGGCTTCCTGTGGGTCAATTAGCAATTACCTACCGTTAATAACTTCCTGTCTTTTTTTCTCGGAATTGCTGAGCTGCGCGAGAACGTCCTCGGCGACGGCCTGGCTCCAATCTGGAGTATCAGCTTCGGCGTCGACATCACTGTCCCAGGAAGTTGACGCGTTCGCCGACGATGTCGTGGGATGCACCTGCTCTAAACTGGTGCTCGGACTGTCCAGGCTCCTCGTCGACAGGCTGCTGTTCGACGAACTGCCAGCGGAGTTCCCGGGAAACGTACCGGAGGGCTCGCAATCGCTGGAACCGACTCTACAGTCAATTTTATGTGCACTTCACTATTTAAATATATTATCTGGACTCCGATATTATTGTTGACGCGAATCGTATTATCATATCGATCTTTTATAATCTTATGCCTTAGACAAAAATCGTAACGAGACAACGACGCGCATCAGACTCGGACGTCTAGGTTTTGCCAGAGGACAATCGTTCGGGATTTCTTTCACGTGGAATGCACAAGAAGTAAGTTTTGCTGAGACAAGCTTTTACCGTGTGTTTGTAAACAGACTACCTTTCGGATCTCGTGCGTCGCTCGTTAAGACGCAGATATTCGTCGCTCGGTGTTTCGGTCACGTTTTCGTCAGCGTCCGAGTGCCTCTTCGGGATGACTTCGGCCGATTGAATCGTACGCGGGGTTGTCGGTTCCGACTGCGGCGTACGATCGCCCGACGAATTTCCCTCGCCGCGGGAAGTGGGTCGACGGGAACGGACGCGATGCGGGCCGCGTTGCCTCATCTCTTTATAGCTTTTCTCCTTTTGGATTTTTGAGGGTTTCGGTGTCACCGCGTCCCACCGCGCGAAGAAAATGCGCGCGTCCGTGTGGCACCTTCTAAAGTGCACTCGCTACTACTACGTGTTGTTGCTTCGTTTTTTTTTTTCTCGCGATTTGTAACACACTGCGATTTCGCAAAGGTTTTTACATTGTTTACGTCACGAGACGGTACAGCTGACGGACCATCGAATAACGCTCGCCAAAAGTGTTTTCAGATTGGTGAATATAATCGATGATAAAGTGGCGAGAGATTTCACAGGCCGCTGGCTCAATATCGGAGACCGCGCGGCAGAGCATTGGCATTTCAACCTAAACTGTATGAGGTAACGTTCCCGATATAAAGAGAGACCTTTAAAAGAGAAGTACGGAGAATACTAGTTATCTCCTTATGTGTGTGACAAACGCGCGTGGCAAACAAAAAAAATAAAATTCTCTCTTTCAATTATCGCTGAAAACGCTCAACAGCAAACACCATCGTTTCGCGGTGAAATCTTTCAACATTCGTAATATTAACAAAATTCTGCAGAGCTTTCCAATAGTTTTTTAATATAATAAGATTACAGATTAGATTAAAAATCTACTTTTGAAATAATGAGAAAACTAAAGAGGTTTTATTTTTGAAAATGTATATTGTGTATTTATACGTGTGAAGAAGAGAGCTGTCAATAATTATTATCTCTTCCCTCCGTCTATCATTTCCTCCCTCGTTATCAATAATTAATATCTCTCTCTCTCTCTCTCTCTCTTTCTCTCTCTCGGGATGAATCCTAACTACTGTATAAGCGCGCGTTCAGCAGCATAAATCGCGCGTGTATCGCACGTATGGGGCGACAGACACGAGCCCGCAGAGACTCGGAGGCTGAGAATACACGATATATACAGAATATCTCTTGTACCGAGAGCGGCCAAAAACCACAATTCAAAGGAAGCGAGCTTAGGCCGGGGAGACACCCCGTGCAGAGAGTTTCATATTGATTCGAAGGTATCGATCGCTTCGGAAATAAAAGCCAAGACGTATCCGTGCTCTGACATCACTCGGCGTTTACCGGCGTGCACACACGTATTAGCCAGACCCGATAAAAACAGATCGGCTCTCTTTCTTCCACTACCTTATCGATCCTTTAAAATAGATAGGCGTAAAATAGAGCAGCATTGCTCTCTCTCTCTCTCTCTTTCTATCTCCTCCTCCTCCTCTCCCTCCCTCCCTCTCTCTCTCTCGTAAAAGCGATTCGTATACACACCCCGGTGTGTGACCGCGCGAGTAATATTCATATGTTTTTGGACTATTCGAATCGATGGCTACCACGTCGTTCAGAGTTTGTCGTGAAGAAGATCCAAAGCTCACGAACAGTATTCCAAGTTTTTCGATAAAACTGTGCAACTTTACAGGAAAGAGACCTGTTTGATCTCGGAATTGGATCGTTCGTATCTTGTTTCTTTAACGAAACAACCAAGTTCTATATATCTCGCTATGTTCGAATTGTGTCAAAGACACACTGAGAGATTCTCGCAATGTAAACTCTGAATATTTCACGAGAACAGAAATATATATGTGTGTTTCAGTGATTCAAAAGCATACTTGTGAAATGAATACTGTTTTATATTTACGCGATTCACACTCATTGATAAATTTCTTGTTTTTGAACACGCACGTCTCTTTCTATTGAAGCGCTCGTCATTCCCGTTTCATCTTTTTAATTTCCTTTTCTTTCAGATTATTGACAGCTCCGACTACAACACGCTGTAACATCGAGATGCGCGCTGTCAAACTCCACGCGCGAACGTAAATCACAAGCCCAGAGTTACATTTACGAGCACGTGACGTTTGAACTTGTGACATTAAAATTAAAAAAGAAGACGCATCTAAACGCAAAGTCTATGTATAGAACACGCGTAAACATCTAAACGGACGGTCGATCCGTACGAACTTTATTCAATATAAACGTTCCATAAAGGTTTAATGATGTTTGTTTGCTAGTCAAACAAATAAAAGAATTTGGCAAGGCATGTAGCTGATAAATGTTTGACTTCCCGACGGATGTTGATCGACCAAACATTACACTTGAACTTTTTTTGGCTTAATTCCGCTACAAAACGCGGCGCACTGTTTATTAGCGCAGGTCCGTTCGCTGGTTGCAATGTCGAAAAGCTGATTTTTCGATTACTTCGAACGCCTTTCCTCTTGAGTCGGTCGAGAGTGCAGACGCCTACGAGTTTCGTTTATCGTTCACCGTAAAGGCCGAAGTTACACATATCTATAAGCAATATCCTCCGGTCGCTGTATAAATAACCGCGCACGACATACGGCTTTTTCAACTTCTGTTCTTACGAATTTCGACGATTTCGACGTGCGCGGCTGAAAATCCATTTGTTCGCGATCAGTTTGCTTCTCTGCGACCTGGTTGCGCGAACTCGCAACCGTTCCGGAAAAACGGATGATCGGTGGGCGCGTTTCCCGGGATGATATAAACACAGTCGCGCGCGTTCCTTAAATTGACTCCCTTAATTGACTTCCTGAGATAAAAATGGAAAGCTCTGCAGTCTTAACTTAGTTTCGGCGTCTCACCAAAAATACACCCGCGCACTCACGTCTCAATCCCGTCTCTCTTGAATTGAGATATCATTCATCTCCCGAACGCACGAAGTAACAGACACTCACTGAAATTCAACCGCGGAACAAGTTAGTACGAGACAATACGAGCGGGCGAGATCGGGAGTGATGTTGAACCGGCGTGAAACTTTATTTGCATGTGAAAGTAAAAGAAACATTCTTTTTCAAGAACTTCAACTTCTGCAAGCAGTTTCTTTTTTAACAAAACCGATATTTTATGATAATTTTTCGTATTAACTTTGTATTAAAACCGTTGCAAGTTTTATAATGAAATAATTATTGTTAAGTAATTTTTAACAGAGAGACGTAAATACTGTAAAAAAAGAGAACACTTCTACAAAACTTTAAAAGTTACTGCTCTCTTCGATAAAATTGTAAGAACCTTTTTTAAGGGCCAGTCACCGGTGTTATCAATATTTTCAAGTGTATGTGTGCATAGTTTTCCTATCGGCCTACACATCCACGTCTATACACACGTATCTCGAGACGTGCACATAAAAGATAAAACAACAAAAAAAAATAGTATTGTTTGAAAATAAATTGAAAGTCAGAACCACACTACTAGTCTTCGACCAGCTTGTTTCAACGCAAACCGAGAGGTTTGTTCCGTCGAATAATTAATTGAGAAAAGTAATTAATTGAGAAGAAAATTAAATTCGCGCGACACACACAAGAGCGCGGATCGAAACAAGAGCGAAAGTGCGTAATCGCGAGACCGGGCGAAACGAAAAGCGATCGTTTCAAAAGCTTTCCGAAAGCGTGGGTGTTACGTGCCGTCGAAGCGGCGCAATAACCGTCCGCGAAATTGAACGTTTAACGTCACACTGAAGGCCTTCCCCAAACGAAAGCCTTCTGTATACACACACCTTCGCACACACGACGAGAAACGAGGCACAGACCGAGTCTGCGCTCTTCGCACGTGTTCATTATGGAAAAGCGATATGGAAGAGAGGTGAGAAACGAGGAAAAGAGAAACGCTGCCAAAAATTCACAGATCTGTACCTCGTACAGGCTCTAGAGCGACACATAAACGAGAGCCGGGCGTCCAGTCATCCGGTCGCACTCCATTTTTAACGCGGAGTAACCACACACAAGTCCCGAAGTAATACACACCCCGAAGTCGATCCCTATCGATATGATAGCACGAGTTCCGCGCGCGCAACAAGTTAGACACCGCGAAAATATTTATACAGGCAAAAATCTTTTGAAGAGGATCACGCGTTGATTTTGCACATTGAAACAGAGTATCCGCAGAAATACATATTATTTATATCGCACGGAGAACCTTTAGCATTAATATAAATAATCGGTATACGATAAAAATACACTCACTTCGTTTTCGGATTCGGATCGCTGGTCTTTCTCTTTTCCCTCAGTTGTCGCTGCAATGTGAAGAAATGCTCAGTCATAAAAGGAAAACGAAAATTGCGACTATGAACAAATAATATAAACTCAAGATAAAATTATATATCAACATTATTTCGGTGTAAAATAATAATGTAGAAGCGTATGATTGTTCCATCGTATTTACAAATGTTTCGTAAAATGAAAAATGAAAAAAAAAAAAGCAAATATTACTTATATGTATGTATATATGATACAAATATGATTGCCAAAGTGCAAAATTGTTTGAAGTCTAGCGATACCGTTAAGCTGATTAACTATAAAGAATGTGTTTAATTACCTTGTGATGTATCCGCTCCTTGTAACTTTCAGACCTGTTGATGTTTGACGTCTTTGGCTTACAGGAAATATTTTGCTGGACCCTAAGTAATCGTAATTAATAAAGCGTAAATTAATGTCCACGACGCAAGCAAACCGGGCGCACAAAGCAATATTCTCGCTATATAAATGCAAATCGACATTTACAGAGAAAAAAAGAAAAAACAAACAATACGCGCGTATCAAATAAGTTGAGATGTGTATTCGTTTGCTGAACTTCAACGAACAAGAAAGAATATCGGGATTAAATCACGAATACGAAATTCCAGGAATGTAGAAATTTATAAACTTAATGATTCAGAATCCGCGTGCAGAACTTCGACGCTTCAACTGTTAGTGTAAAAAAATCTAAAGATCAAAGCATATACAAGTTAAAGCGGAACAGTGAGAGCTTGTGAAATAAAATCTGTGAGTGACTTGCGTACCAGATACACACAATGAGAACACAGAAAAATATATTTATATGTATAATGATGCATATCAAAACAAAAACTTTTATAGTTAAAAAATTAAGATTTTGTTTTAATAAACCAATATTGTAAGACGGAAAAAGGGTATGCCTTGTAAGAAAAACTTTACCAAAATTATCGGAGCGAAGAATATTATAAGTTAGATAATAAAACAAAAGTAATAAATGAATGACTTTATGTAGTAAGGGATTTTACCGCTTAAAATCTTGAGAAAGCTTTTATAAACTAAAACTCAACAAAAATTAAGAATAAAAAAATTCCTATCAAACGTATGCACAGAAAGTTGTAAAATTGTATCTACAGATAAAAAGATAGATATACGTCATTCTATGTAGATACGTACATTTCGGAAATATCTTCTCGTGACGATGGATTCTCTGTGTTATCGGCATGATCGCCACTTCCTCCTAAGCCGGAAAGTCGTGTTCTATCGCAACTGCCACGAGCGTTTCCGACCAAACTGCCTCGTTGATCTGAATTTAAAAATATTAACGGAAACATTTTTTATTATTTACTATTGTTACGTGGTGTTGCGTTATCGCAATTTCTGACATTGATAAATATTGAAGAGAGTAACTAAGCGACAAATACAAGGCTATTATTTACCGCTTGTCAAAGTTGTTTGATAAACGACACGAAACGAAAAGCAAAACCACGACGTGAATAAGATTTTAACAGAAAACAGTTTTTTTCTCAAATAGTTTTTTTTAACAAGAAAATCAACAAAAAAACAAGACTCACCGTTTTCGCCATCCGTCAGCGCACCGGAATCATCCTCGCTTTTTCTGAGTTTTTCGACTGCAAAATACAACGAAAAAAAAAAACACAATTTTATATCATTTTAACATACAGCAGTCTCCGCTTGTAGTCTCTTGTCGCGTTACTTCTCTGCTACACATATTCACCAACACTAGTTCGTCTCCCCACGTTACAAGCGCAAACTGGAAACGGCGTTAGTGGAAGGGATATCTCCCTTCCACTAACGCCGTTTCCAGTTTGACTAAGCGGAGATTACTAATTTGATTTGCACAAAATATCTAAAATAAGTCTTACGATGCAATATGTGATTGTGAGAGTGATGATGATGAGACGATGGTGGTTTCCTTTCCGGTCGGATACGCTCCATCAGTTTACTGATTCTGTCGTTGCCTCTTTCCTTTCTTCTTTCCAAAGGACCCGGACAATTTTCTTCTACCACACGAACGCACTGACGATGCACGCTTAGGGAACAATCTGTCAAACAGGTAGGCAAATAATACCAATTTTATTATCTTCCGTAATCGTAAACATATATTCTGAGTAAAAGCCTGCATTGCTCCTCCTCGCTTCAGTCTTCAAACCAACACATATTATACATACCACTGCATAAATATCCTTGAGGACCGATACCCCCAATAATGAGTTGACAGTGATTGCAATAAGTAGTCGTAAAATATTGATGCGCTACGAAATGATGTCCTCGGATCGTCATTTTGCGCGTTTTTCCGGTAAGCAGTCGTGCTTTAATATTCGATTTGTCTTTCGCGACAAAAGTAGGCACGCGATCGGCCCATACCGGCCGCAATTGGAAGATCTTTATTAGTATTGTAGCTAGGCCAGCGGCAGTCGTGAACAATCGCAAATCTACGTGATCTTTCTCTATATCCTCTCTGTAATTTCCAAAAATTACACACACGTTGTTAGGAAGTAGAAAAAAAAGTGATTTTATAATTTATGCAAAACAATCTTACAAAAAAGGATCCATTTTAGGCAGAAGGTACGTCTCGATGATTTTTGTTTCACGCGCTTTGTCGGATATGCTCTCGTCGAGCGAGGTGTCGTTCGGGCCAAAGATTGTGGCCAATCCCGCGATTCTTTTTTCTTGAAACTTTATCAGCTGTTCGTTCAACTCTTCTTTCGCTCTGGTACGTGCCTTCCAAAATATCTACAAAAAGATCGCGCAAATATTTTCTCAAACATTTCTGCAACTTTGTTTAATATAAATTTATTTCATATTTTTTTTATTCGATATCTTAACGCACCTTCCTAAGAATTTCTTCTTTATCGGACTCTTTTACGAGAACGTCGTCTATTTCGTTTGCGACATGTTCGTCTACGTTATGCAGACGTAATGGCTAAACATAGAAATTTATTGTTGATTGACACATCCATTGACATTTGTGAGATACACAGTTTTTATTGTTGAGTTTTACTTACCGCACCAGGTACTAGAAAACTAGAATGAATCTCGTATGCCCATTTTCTCATTTCTTTGGCATTTCCCTCCTTGTACAAATCTGTTACTAAATAAAATAACTGCAAGAACATATTAAATATAGAGATACTGTGACATGTAATTATTTTATTGTAAAAAATTCAAGCAATATTTTACTGACCAGGCTAGAAGGATCACTATTAGATAGTACGTAATTAATAAATACAGCAAGGTGCGCATGATGTCCCCACAGCCTGGACAAAGACTGGAACGGTCCGTGATCCTCTAATTGATTCTGAAACATCAACAAAAGATTAACATTTAAGTTTCACGTGAAAATATGTGATCGAACTCTCGGAATATCGAGACTTACAATTTCCTGATCGCTGACATCGTCTTCTTCCATCGACATAATTGGCTGTTGGAACGCTGGCAGTCCAGGAATGGTATCAGTCGCGACCGTCTGTTGCAGCGAAAACCGATTAAAACTCATACGAATAACCATTACAACTAACAAGACACTTACGTCGTTTAATGTAGACGAAAAGATATCCTGTCCCAAAACGGGAGCCGGATATGGAGGCGGTGGTGTTCCTGGTGGTGTGATACGCGGCAGTTCGTTAGCATCGATTACGCTATGTCTGATGTGTCTCGGAGGCGACAGATCGTGCATCGATTCAGAGGCGATCAAGCATCTGCTGGCTTCCGACGGAGACATCACTGTGGTTCCCAACTGTTCCGGACTCGATTTCGTCCGCTGGTGTTTCGAGAGAGCGTTCAGATTAGCATCTTGCGAAAACTGAAATATAATCCGTTTGTAAATAGTCATTTTCTTAAAATCTAAAATCCTTGGATTCTCAAATTCTCTCCGACTCGTTTGCAATTTCTTGGTTTCGATAAGAATAACATTTATCAGCAAGCGTAAAAAAAAATCATAAAACGGGTATCGACGTATTGGGTAATTAAGCTACTTACAGAGTTAGGAATACCGTGACTGGCAGTTGAGGACGTTAAGTGAGTCAGCAGTTGTCGATCCAGCTCCTGCTGGGCTGTGTTTTGCGTGTTTGTGGCAGGTGGTGTAGGTCTGGGAGGCAAAGGTGGCGGAGAGAGACTTTGCATGGACAAGGATTTGCGCGACGGCAGTGGAGGTGGCACGTCCGCACCACTGCCGTTGTTCGGGGACGGATAATAACCCGAGGAGGTATTTGTTACCAACGAGCAAAGCTGTAAGATACAACAAAAGATTGCTGTTACCGAAAGGCGAAGCTGTAAGACACAATTGAAGGTTAGCAAAACGGGCGGAAGCTTCCGGTGCACTCACGATAGATCGATCGATTTGTTTTATTGCCAATATAATTGAAAAAAAAAACCTAATTCTAAACAAAAACAAAGTAAAACTACATAACGAAAGTTTTGGAAAGTAAATTTCTTTTTGAATTAAAAATAACTTTTCTTTTCAATGATATAGTCTTCAAGCTGATGTTCTCTCGTCCGGTTACACCGTGTATTCGAATTCCTGGATGCATTAGATGAGGGGAGGTAGGGTTAATGGTTCTCAATGAAGGCGCGTGTAGGCATAGTGAGGTCTAACATTGAAGAAATTCAACATATATAAACACAGATAATGCGCGCTTAGAGAAGCGCGAACATAAATATGCAGACCTGGTCATTGGTTGTCCCGCTAATCGCCGTGAGCTGTTCTTGAAGAGTGCGTACTCTTCTCTCGGCGCCTGTTAACTCGTTCTGGATGGAAGAAACGTTACCGCCACCACCAGTGCCGGCTTTCGCCAGCTCGCTTCGCAACTTGTCCACGTAACTCTGTTCCTTCTCCAACATAAGCTGGAACGTATGAACTCTTTGCGTTTCCAGCTGCCTCTTCTTCTCGAGCTAGAAAATAGAAAAAAATAAAATAAAATAAAATAAAACTCCTCTGATCTAATAATTATAATTATCAAAATTTTCGATATAATCTCTGTTGCTTACATCGACTGGCTGCGGACCCGTGATCCGAGTGTTACACGGCGCGCCGCCTGCTGGCGCGGTGGCCGCTCTATGAAGAGAGGTCGCCGGTTGCGAGGGTGACATGTTTCCGGTCGCCGCCAGGCTGAGCGGACGTGGTTGGTGTTGATTTGTACCGAGTTGCAAACCAGAACCCGTTGTTGCCGCTGTCGCAGCTACACTGCCCACTGTCACCGGCTTCTGCTGCACTGTCAGTACCACTTGTGTCGAAGCTACAGACAGAATTTAGCTGTTTTTAAGCAACATTTGTCACGTATATTAGGCATCAAATGTAGTTTTATAACTTTGTGCTGCAATATTACGATATGATAAATTATGAGTTCACACGTTAGAAAATAAATCTGAGTCATCTCCGATGTTATTTTTTACACAGTCGCACGCACATCTAAGAAAAATATTTTTATCAACATTAATAACAATTGTCACACTTCAAACGTGAATTATTAACAATCAAAGTTGATTAATGTATTCTCACGAAATAAAAACCATAAATCAGTCGCACCGCGCGTTGTTACGTGATTCCGCGATACGTTTGTGGACCAAGTGCGTACACAATGTGTCTAAGACACATGTGTGCATTTATACCTGCGCACGGTCGACGCGAGAGTGAAGTGAACGAAGCAGTCACCGCTATAAACTCGCATGCTTACATCATTAGAGATGATGCTCGCGCGCGTTCAGGTTCCACGTACGTATAACCGCATAAAATATGCGCGTATATATATATATATACGCACAGCAGTTTCATTTAAAAAATTCTAGTAAGACGTAATATCTAAAATTCCAAGAAAAATCTTTTCTTTACATTAATTATATCACAATACTCGGAAATATGAGAGTTCGAAGAATTACTATTCGAATAATTCGAAAAAATAATATATACATCGCATAATTCGAAACTATTTAGATTTCAAACTGTTCGAGCTCATATATAAAGTATCATTAATAAAATTTCTAAAATAACACACAAAAATGTTGATTAAAAAAGCATTCTTTTATTAAGACAAAGTTCACAGAAAGCATATTGTCAGTCATTCTTTTATTAGTTTGTTTTATTTAAATGTATTAATTTTATTTGCATATAAAAATTGAAAAAGCGAGAATACTTACACTTTATTAGCTGGACCACATCAGTATGCGTAGATTGCATCACATTGACGCCATTCACCTTCAACAAAACCAAGAAAGATTGTAGTACATATATATTTTACTTGAACAATAAAAACTGTTAAATTATTTGTGTTTACAAAGTTAAATATAAGATACAAGAGATCTTCACAAAAATTTACGAAAGAAATTTGAACAACAGTTTATTATGTATCAAAATTTGCTCACTTATAACCGCTTAATCTTTCATTATTTGTAACTCAGACGCTATCGATGTATTTCTGTGTGTCAAAAAATAAGTCTGCGAGAAATCTTATTATTACGAAACATACGAGTGAGAAAAATCTATTGGGAATATAATATAAATATAAATACTATAGTATATATATTTATAGTCTAATACAATGCAAGAAACATCATAAGCACAAGATGAAACAGTCCACATGCATCTGCCTGTATACACTAAATATTCAACTACCAGTATAAAAAACATTTTTTCTGTAAATATGATATTGTGTGTGTGTGTGTACACTACTCTATAAAATTACATTAAATATATTTTACAAACAGATGTATTGCCGCTGCGATTGTTTCAATTACAGCTTGTTTATTCACCTTAATGATCTTGTCACCTGCATGAAGACCAGCTCTGGCTGCTGCACCACCTACAAAGCACATTGTTCTTGTGAGAACCTCAAAAATAATTCAAGGTATTTCAAATAAAATAAACATAAAAAGGGTTAAACATGCGGACCTTCCTTTACTGACTGAACATAGACCGGATTGTCGCCAGAAACTTTCATTCCAAATCCAGCATCATCCTTGTACAGGACAAGTGTGGCAATAGGTGCTGGCTCGACGACCCCACCGCTGATGGCGCCTGCACCAGCCCCGACGCTGCGTCGCAGCGCTGCCGTTCCATTCATCCCTCCTTTGAACTCCACCTCGCCTCACCTCTATTGCTACCGACCTGTGACAATTCTTATTCTTTGTAAACATGCAGGCTGTTTCCCAAAGCAGTAAACAAGCAGAGTTTTTACATCCACATTCAATTTTCCACAAATTGAAAAATGCAACTATCATAAAAATCTAAAAATGTAAAGTAACTACACACATATAGTTTTTATGTAAAATTTTTATGTAGTTTTATGTAGTATACTATTTATATTTACTTGTAATAATAATATATGTTGCAGTACAAGAATATCATTTTCCAGACTCATTCATACATGTAAGCTACCAGACCATACCATATGTCAAGCAAAGAATTTCACTTTCTAACACCTTCAAAATTAAGTCTAATAACTTTAATGATGTATTAAAATAATTTTAAATAATTAAATATATTAATAGTATATTATCAATTAATATTATCCAAACTAATTAATAATATATTACAACAAGCCACCTAATAATATATTATCCAAACCAATTAATAATATATTACCATTAATTATAGAAAACACAAATAAACAACTTTACTCTTGTGTTTTGCTGCGAGTCTATTTCTTAAAAATATTATAACAAAAGAAGTTTCTTTGACATATACAATTTTATATACATATATGTACAAATGTATATATATAAAATTAGAGATAAGAGAGATAAAATAAAGCCGCATTTACTTTTATCTTTTTGTTTATCTCTTTTTGTTTAAACTACAATAGTGTCAAAACATAATATAAGATACAATAAGAAATAAGATACATATGTATCAAGTCTTGATAGCTGAAAATGATATTCTTATGATCTACGCATTGTAAACACATCAAGTACAAATGTTACATTCAGACATGGCACCTGTCAAGTTTTTCCTTGTGACCAATGCGAATTTGTATGCGCAAGCATCAAAATTTACAAATCTATCTAAGTTTCTAAATAACCGCTTATAGAAGATACTGATATCTACTACATCTCACAATACATATAATAAAATATACAAATGTTTTCTGAGAGATAATAATGGTAAAGTACTCAGGAGTGTGAAGGCTAAATTGAACATCGTCAAGATCGTGAGGTGATAATTAAAGCTCTAAAACTTGAAACATCGAGACGTGTCCGAAGTAACACGAAGATCTAGAAGTTCAAAAAATTGATACAGTTGAAAGATCGATAACTGGGGAAGCAAGGTCAACAAGACAATACAAAGCACTTACTTGACACACTGCTAGAGATATATACGTGTATATATATATACATATTGAAGCAACAACGATAACAAATGCGGATATGCATAACATAATAAGATTACCTTTCATTTAATCTACTTGGCGGCGTCGAGCAAGCGTTAACAAGAAGCTCTCCTATGGGACGAGTGGAGACGGAGGCGAGAGACGAGATGAAGCGAGGCAAGACGAGACGAGGCGGGACGAGACGGGACAGAGGGGGCCGAGAAACGAGAAACGACCGTTTCCGAAAACACACACACACAAAAAAAAAAGGACACTCCCGGAAACGCGCGATCAATTCGCGCGTAAAATCGCCCGCCCGGCGTAGCGTCGCGTCGCACGAAAGGATTATATCACGATTGTCACAACAAAAGGACACTCGACGAACATGGCTGGTGACGGGCAATTACTCCGCCTCTCGCGCACTCATGCAGCATCCCGATCGTGGGACGGCAAAACGCGGATCATCTCCGAACACGAGACCGGATACCAGGTCGTCGAGCAGGACGAGCGACTCGCGGATACGCGCGTCACACGCACGTCGTTGCACAAAGCTGCGCCGAAAGCGGCTCTTTTCTACGAAATACGCGTCAAACCGAACGAAAATACGCTACTGAAACAAGTGGTAGCCATCTTGGTACCAAGCGATGCGCGCACACCATTGATCACGATAACGATGACAGATACGCGACTCTTACGTCGTATCGTGCCGATAACTGACCAATCAGCGCGCTTCTGTGCAGCGCGTTCAGTAGTCAAATTGGGTGCGTTCAGACAACTCAACAGTTGAGAGATAATCACTTCTGATTGGATCATACTTTTGGAACCGCAGCAGATTTTGAAGAATAGTCCTATCATAAGTGATGATCTCTCAACCGTTGATCTCGAACGCACCCAATGGGTGCGTTCAGACAACTCAACAGTTGCACAACGGTTGAGAGATAATTACTTCTGACTGCTTTCCTTTTAGGAGACACAGTCGACACAAGAGTCATTCTGTCTTTGTTTCTCACTGAATACTGAACGAAGACAGAATGACTTTTGTGTCGACTGTGTCTCCTAAAAGGAAAGCAGCCTCTGATTGGATCATACTTTTGGATCCGCTCAGATTTTGAAGAATAGTCCTATCATAAGTGATGATCTCTCAACCGTTGAGTTGTCTGAACGCACCCACTGCATCGGAGCGCTTTGGTCGAGAAAATTATAAAGATGCCTGGCATCTGACATTTAAGATATCCAATGTTGGTAAAAAACATTTCGTTTTGTTTGATTTATGCTAATTTTTACATACGTATACATTTACATACATATATGTGATTTTTTGCTTTTCTCTTCGCTTCTATTCTTATGAGTTTTCGAACACCGCGTCGATTATTCGATATTTCGAGAATCGCAATATCGCGCTTCGATACATCATATCGTTTAGGCGCATCAGTCACGGCGAACACTCAACGCGGAGCGGAATTACATTCGTCTTGTTCCGCATTTCTCGCGATTATTAATCGTCTCGCGCGCAAATATCTGCTGTGCATGTGTGTCGCAAAGTATCGGGCGTTCGCGGCGACACATAATTCGCATCGCGCACTCGCCGGTAATGTTAATCAACGAGATTTACAATGAAATCGCATCGCGGTCGTTCGCGCTTCCGCGCGCGGGAAACAAAATGGCGGACGCGCGACGCGAAGCGAACTACGTTCGATTAGTTCTCCGTTTGTCGCAATTATTATCGTTTCGTGCGCGAATACGAGTGATTATTAGTGTCGACAAATATCGGAAGTATCGCGTAATTGATACGTAATTAGCGTCGCGCACTCGCTGGCGATGCTAATCGGCGAACTTTACGTACCGTAGTTGTTCGCAAAAAACAAGATGTCGTGTTGCTGCAGTTATAAGTGCGTGTTTAAAAAAACAGAAACGTAAAAAGAGAACAGTGTAAAAACGAACTAAGTACAATATGTGACTGGAAAATAAAACATTTTTATAAGCGGCAACTACTACTGGCAATATGGCTACAATGCAAAAAGAAATGTAAAATCAAGTATGTTCTGTTTATTATTTATTATATAAAATGCATATCTATGTGAAGATATGCATCTATGTTTGTATCGCAACTAGCCTTCTATATTTAACGCGTGAACTAGTTTTTCAGTTTACTCGCTTATTTCATAAAAAATTATGTTTATATTGTTTTATTGTTTTATTGTTTTATATGAGAATTTTGGAGTCTCTTCTAAAAGTTTTCGCGAATTGATAATTTTTAAAAGCTTCAAACATGTATTCTTAAAGTTCATTACATAATTAATGCAAAGAAAGAAAATATCTAGTATAAAAAAGGGATATTTATAAAAGATATATAATTTTTTATTTTTTTTTAATATTAAACTGTGCCATGTTCGATATTTATATGTTATATTGTGTATATAACACACTCACACACACATGTATAATAAAGAGAATCAATACATTTGGACTTTTTATCCTTTCTGAATCGTTCAGAAAGGGATAAAAAAAATCATAAGGTAATGTAAGGTCTAGATTAGACCCGCCGACAAAATAATATTTCGATGGTTTTGAAACGTCGTGAAAATTAACGTACGAGAGAATATCGACGTGAAGAACGTCGGTGCAAGTTTTCATTGTGCATTTTGGCCAACTGATGTCCTCCTCCTTGCCGAACGTAACGCCAAAGCCTAGTATTTTGTAGTTGGTTAAAGTTTTTGACTTTGGTAATGTCGAATAAAGAATATTCAAATGTACGCTCGTGATTAATCCGGAACACAGAATCCGTCTTCCGATTTTGTGCGCGGTCACAACGCTCTGTGGTATTCTGTCGAACACGACGCGCGACCACTCGGCCGTTTTCCTGTTGGTGAAATTACCCAACTTGGACACGTAAACGTTGTACGGCAGACTCGCATTTAACGTGAACGCATTCGTCATGAGATCCATAGTCAGATTTTGCAGTTCCGCGCAAGATGACGCGGTGAAATTTTTCGTCAATAATTTAGCGACACATCTTAGCCGAACGTCCTCGCCGAACGCGACGACGTGCCTGCCGATTCGGTCGCACTCACCACTTTTCTGAGCCAGAGGCAATGTGAGAAATCCATTAGTTCTGTTAAAGAAGATCTCGGCTTTGCTCTTGTTAGTTTGCGGCGCGCCGACAATGATCGGTTTGCCCGCGATGTAACCGGGATTTCCGCTACGTGCGAAAGCTTTTGTCTTATTCGTGTCTATCCACTCGTACCGGACCTCGTAATATTGATAAAACGCACGCGAAGTGTCGCCTATATCGAAATAAGCGTCAATGCTGTTGACGCCGGCGGAGCCGTTGTGAACAATTACGTATTTTACACCTTTGACGATATTGGTGCAAGTTGAGTTTACGCAGAAACCCGGTATTCTGGTTCTGTTGCACACGCTGAACGATTTTGAACAGTAATGAGTCCTTATCGGCAAACAAATATCGCTTCGACAAGCCTTAAAAATGAAAAATTTGTTGAAACTTGGAATAACAATATATTTGATTTATTTTCTAAATTATAAAAAACCGCACCTGTTTTGTGACAAATGTATTGTTGAATGACGGCAGAGATTTGATAATAGTAAAATTACTGAACGTCGTGGAAAACAAATATTGATTGACATTTGTTAATTCACTTTGTATGCACGTGTCTTTCCAATTCTCTAGATATCGCAAGATCTTTTTCAGCGAACATATTCCGTTAAATCCGGATTGTAGAAATTCTAAATACAAAAATTGATTATTCAAATTTTATTTTGCACTATGCAAAATAATAGCACTTATTTTTCTTGTTCATTCCTAAGATTTATGTCAAATATGTCATGTTGTTTCAGTTTTTTTTTCAAATTTACATTAACACTTTACCTGTTGTTTCAATAGATTTATCATATAATTTCCACAATATGTCTCCGTGTTGATAATATTTCGTTAAATTGTATTTGGGCAACACTTCGTCAGATTTTATTTTCCATTTATATTTTTTTGTTTTTATCACATTCCACAGATCTTTCTCATTCCGTAAAATCTAAAAAAAAATATATATAAATATATGTAATAAATTTAAAATATACATACATGTGCATAAAAACATGCAAATACAAGTGGTAAAAAACTAATACATAATAACATAAAATGAAAAAATGAAAAGAGGAATCTTGTCATCAGATTTCAAAACCAATGCAAGAGTAAAGATAAGAAATATTTTACTTGTTACATCGAATTAAATAAAAAAGTCCTGATAAATGCATCCACATACGATATTTTTGTCATCAACAGGTTTTGAGTTTTATAAATTTTCTTACCAGATCGTTACTCGCGCTATATCTAGATGGAATATTATCATATAAGACGCAAAACAAGTTATTTCCAAGTTTCTCAAGAATGAAAGGCGTGTTGTTTAGTTGTACGAAATTTCGATTGTAGCAATATCGACTGTCGTAAAGCTCCATGTGATAATCTTGACAGTGAGAAAAGGCGGACAAGTGAGATTGATTGCAATCTCTGTCGCAACAGCAATTGATATCACAGCCAAATTTCTGTACAAAATTAAACGACTAGATGTTATACACACAAAATAACATGAAATATTTAATTTGTTATATCGACTACTAAAAAAGATATCAATATTTCTGTACGTTTTTCAAATCGCGCAAAACTATCTTGTCATTCCACAACAAAGATTTAATATCTTATATATGATAGAATTTGAAAAGTGTAACACGTACAGTCAAATCACATTCGCATAACTCTGTTTTTTTGAACTTGAGAGTTTTATTTAGAGGAATAACAACTGGCGAGGACGTTGTTGTCAAAGTTGATTCTACTTCTGATTCTGTTACATCAAAGTTTGTTCTCAAAGATGTCATCTCAGTAGGAAGAGCAGTAACAAATGGATTATCTTCCTCTGTGTTATTTGAGGAATTATCCGAAGCTGAATCGTCAATTTCAGAATCTTGTGTGTACGTTGGCGAGTCTGTCGCTTCGTTGCAATCTGTGTCATTCGTACAGATTAATATATCTTCAAATTTTATCACATGCACCACGTTGGTACATGTAAGAAGTAGCAGCAACGGGAAAAGCATCGTCGCAAAATGTTAATATAGTATTTTTTTTGTTTTTTTTTTTAGAAGAAAACGAGTTTGCTTCAGAAGTTTTATTCTTTTTGCGCGTAATTTTTATTGTGTTTCGGATTGATATTTGATGGCTTTCGATGTGATTTCTATATTGTTTCTCTCGAGAACTCTTCACTTTTTATATCCAAGCTTTATCTCTTTCACAAATGTGTTCGTTCACAATTGGCACCCAAATTTGTCGAAGTTCCTCGCCACGATGTGCAAGCAAACGATCACGGTTCCCATACTTTGTGTGAGTATCTCAAATCTGTCCACCGTGTTGACTAAAACACTCGGTGACGTCAGTTGCAAGCCTTTCCCTAAGAATTTGTCATGCAATCTATCTTTCCAATTGCCTGTAGAGCAAATAAGAGTTTGTTTTTGTTAAGCAAGCGGTCAAACAAATGTTCGATATTCGAAAATTTCATAGGTCACATGTGTGTATACCAATAGGCTTCCATGTGTGGCATTCTAAGACATGCATACCGGGCGACAACGGAATACTATGCACTCCATACGAGAGGAACAGTATTCTCCCATATGTGTCTCTGCAAAACACTTGTAATAATAACTTCGGCGAATTTTGTAGAGTTTGAGTCGAGTAATGCAAGTCTACAGGATGATCCCAGACCGGGTTGTTTGTATAAAGATCGCAACTCTCCTGTGTTTGTCCCTCTTCGTTTCCGGATATGACTTTCCAACCATTGCCTACAATGACGCATTTGATGTGTGTTATAAATAAATATAATAAATTTAAATAAATAATAAATTTATACGATAAATTTACAAATATACAATATAAGTGTGTGCACACTGTTAAATATAAATCTTTTTACCAACGTGGAAGGTCCATTTACACATCAAACGCGGTTGCTTAAAGTTCTTCGCGGATGACACTTGCCCGATTATATGTAACTCGGCCATGCCACAAAATCATTATTGCTACTTGAAATATATATAATTATACAAGTGTTATATGTAAAGTTGTAAGACTAATATACGTGTGTGTGTGTGTGTGTGACTTTTATTTTTTAAGATATATTCTAGAAAATTGTTTTTCAAAAACAAAACAAAGTTAAGTACTTTGTTATATTTTTATCACTTTTTTAGTAACATAATGTTCAACAAATGTCGACAAGTTCGAAGATGACTGAGATTATATTACTTACTTCGACAGGTTTTATTTACGCACGATAATACACGATAATATATTCATATGTAACAATTTATGCATATAAAACCACGATTGTTTCAAACTTAAATTTTTAACAATAAGTGTAAATAAAAACAAAACGCTGAGGAGTTAAAAAGTACTTCCATATCTCAACCGACTGCGACTAATACTGACCGACGAGCAGGTGAAGTTTCAGTGTTGTCGGACGTGTTACTATGACTACAATGAGTCAGTTAAACTCATTATTACGAGAATGTGTCTTATAAATCAAATATATATGTGGGTATATGTGGTTTTAATAACTTAATACTTTTATTTGCTGTATTAAAGATAATCAAAAATCTTGAAAAATATATATAACTTGTGTTACAATACCTTTCGCGTTATATAAGTATAATAAAGATTTTAGAAAAGAAGATGTACAAAGAGAAAATAAATATAAACGCGCGTCAGAAGTAATTCTGCCTTAGCCATTGGAGGGAATAAAAATAAAAGAAAACTTTAACGCGTTTTTACACAGAAGAATCTTACAGGTAGCACATAAAACGTATAAGGAGGAGTCATGTTATCAAAGCTTGATGCAGAGCCGTTGTTAATTCAATTTAATTGTATTTCACTCCAAAACTATGTCATGAAGAGCGCAGTATGTGTTATTTTATTTTATTTTCTGAAAAAAAATACACACTGACTTTAATGGCAAATATGTCATAGCTTTCGCCCAATTTTATTTTTTGTCGTTTACTGTCGCTACTTAATTATAATTTTTGTGTTTCTTACTATCGCTCGCTCGCTCTCTCTCTTTCTCTCCATTGCTTTTTCTTTCATTCACACAGTCATACATTCCACATTGCTACTTCTCTCTTATGTCAGTCAGATCGTGCGTGTTCAACTGTTACATGCTTAAGTTTAGTTAATGATATTCATCAACTAAATCGCTTTTAGTTAATGATTGTTAAGATTATTGTAGATTATTAATTAGTAATCGTTAAAATACAATATGATTAATGTGTGTGTACACATGCATCGTTGCGTGTCTACAAATGGAGAATGTGCGAATACCTGGATCCTCGGATTTAAGAAGAAAATACTCTAACGAGAGAAAAACAAATCGGTAAAGTCTCATAGATGTTTAGAAAAATTTTTCATTCTCTTCGCGAGCTTCAAGATCCTCAAAAATTCTCTTCCCGCGCGAAACGTTTCAAAATATACATTATATAATTTATATAAATTTATATATATAAATTATACGCGCGAAGATTTATACTTGGATCCGTGAATTTCTAAGTTCTTCAAGCTCACTCGGCTTTCAAACAAGAAAACACTCACAATCGGAATCTCTCAAATCCTGGGATCCCTGGTATTCCTAGATTCCTTGGATCCACAAAAGATCCTATAAATTTCCAGATAGGTTTTACATTTCATCCGTCCTTCGTATTATATATTCGTGTTCCTTCTCCGATCGGAAATACGTATGTACATATTACTTGTAATTGCTCACAATCTTACTCAATCAAACATAATTCCAAACTCTTTCTCGTCGCACATTGCGTCTTTTTTTCTTACTCCGTGTAACGTATCATTTCACAATCAGTCTATACATGCGTGCATGCGCGCACGTGTATGTACGTGTGTGTACGTGTCGTGTGTGTGTGTGTGTATGTGTATCGTGTAAATATCATCTTCGTGTATACATGTATACATATATGTTTGTATAAAACGCTCCAAATAGAAATAATATATCTGCCGATTACATGGTAAAACGTCGTTATTTTTTTTTCTTAAAACGTACAACAATTAAGTCAGTCTAATACATTCCAAAAGCACCAATTTAATAATTAGTCGATCATAAATTCATACAATTTTTTTTTATTTCAATCCCGAAATATATATAATAAATTTTTTCTTTCTTTTTTTCCTCGCTTTTAATTTTCACTAAACAGACTAAACTCGAATTGCACCTAACGCAAATATAAGTGCGAAAGCCCATCAAGAATTTTTTCGCTTTTTTGTTTGTACGTCCGAATTCTTCTCTTTATGTGAGAGCGCCGTTTGTGTTAAACAAAACGCACTTTCGGATCATTCCGATGAAAAGATGCGCCGAGAGATGGTCATATAATTTGTGACATCTCTCTCTTTCACGGATTTTCCGCAGCAGGAATTTTTACGATGTTATGTGTGTATGTGTGCACGATACCCAAGATTTCCAGCATCACGGATATGCGCCGGTATGTACCGGATAAAGATCTAGTATCAAGTAGGGTTTTTACGATGTCGAGGATCGGTGAAATTAGTCAACGATACTAGGGATCTGTGCGTTCTCCGTGTCTCTATCTCTTTTTTTCTCTTTCGTCGTGTATGTGCGTGCGCTTGTATCACTTAGTGTCTCTCCCCCCTGTGTATACGTGAGTATAAACGTGAATGTACGTGAAAGTCTAGTAGTAGTAATAGCAGTAATAGTGAGATAGTAATAGTAATAGTAGTAGCGCGGTAGTATTAATTAATTAACAGTATGCGGTGATACTCGTTATTCTTGTTTTTTTTTTTTTTTTTTTTTTCATGAGATAGAGTCTAGGTATTAGTCGTAGTAATTAGTAGCAGGAGCTGTCGTAGTTAAGAATAACAGCGGTAAAGAGTCTTGTGCAAGCGCAACAAATGACGTTTGCATTGCCGACATCGAATCACGCGAACCGTTTCTTTCGCGGTGGCAACTCTTGGAAGTTGACCAATACAATTTGCGATACAGACATTTGCCAAGTGCAAAGTTTTGGTGCGAAAGAAGCTGAACGAAGTCTCTCTCTTTCTCTCTCTTTTTTCTTTCTCTCTCTTTTTCTTTCTTTCTTTTTCAGATCACTCAGAATTTCTCCAGGTTACTACACGTCCTTTAAGTCTAAACATTTATATTTTTGGAGTCCTGATCGCAAATCGAAGGAGTTGGTACGACATATACCGAGTCACATCTTCTTGCACGTGTCTCTCGTCATGTATCTCTCATCTCTTTTTCGTTTTAAAACAAACCTCTTCTTGAAACATACTACAAGACTTTCGTAATAGAATTTGCAAACGAATATAAGCTACATCTCGTATCCATTTGTTTTATTTCAAGTATCTCAATATATTATCTTAAGACCTTCGATCGCAATTTACAATATTTCGTGACAGACATAACGGATAGACATCGGGACACGACGCGCATAAGTGTTTAACAGTGTACTTAACTGACGACAAACGTGAACACATGTGCTCTCTCTCTCTCTCTCTCTCTTTCTTTCTTTCTTTCTTTCTTTCTTTCTTTCTTTCTTTCTCTCTCTCTCTCTCATCCTTTCTCTCCCTCTCTCTCTCTCCTCGTGTGTTCAAGTATGAATATTTACATCCATATATTGAATACATATATATATGTAAAAACATATATACATATTCAAATACTTGTATATGGATGTGTGTATTTTATAATTTTTAAAAAAACACAGAAACTCGATTCTACACTTGGCAGTAATATGAACAATTGCCCAGGCAGGCGTTTAATTGTTTTTTTTCTCCTTATCTTATTCGCTTTGTTTTTTCGTCTCGCACGGTTTCTTAAATCTTGAAAAAAACGACAACATCTCAACAAGACGAGAATGACGTAGACGGTAAAACGTCCTTGGCAGTGATCGTAGAATTGCGTGTTCATTTTTGTCGTATTTCTTATGCATTCGCTTCATCTTCGTTCTCGTATGCGTTTCGCTTTTTTTTTTTTTTGTCAAATGCGTTTCGTGTCACTCGACTTCAACAATCTACTTTTGCAACTAAGCGGCATGTAACATTACAAGCATTTATTAAGTTCGAGGAAAAATAAAGTGTAAAGCGGCGAAATCAGCTGAGACACATGTGTGTGTTATTATGTAAAATTATGCCACAACTTGAATTCCTAGATGCTTGGACTGTTAATTCTCAAACTGACGTCATTGTAAATACTAAAAAATCATTTTATTAACTTTCGGGATTCTTAGTTTTTCGAGCTCTTGGACTTATCAAATCTTAAGTCTTTTTTCTTAGATAATTTTGAAGTCTTTGAAATACACATCATATTCCTCGATTCTCGGATTCTACGTCTCGTTAGATACAGAATGTTAGCAAGAAATAATAATAATTTGTTAGCAATTATTGTTAACAATTATTCACATAATGTAGTTTTTTCTTTTTCTGTTTTTGCGTCTACTTTTAGTCTAATAATCGAAAACGATTTAACGCAAAGGCTAATTCAACGAAGATGGAAAACAAAAACTTCAGGTTCGATTCTCGGTCCAGTCACTCCACAAATCGTTTTTCCTATGTCTAAGATTTAATATGTATATATACGCGGAACTTCTGCTCGCTACATGTTATTATTGCAGAGCATATTGAAAAGAGAAATATATATTTTAATTTTTACATATAAAGAAATATATATCTATTCTTTAGATTGGTTAAAGTGTATTGAGAAAGTTTTTCTTTCGCAATCATTTTTCAGATTGACAAAAAAAAAAAAATAGAAGGGACTCAAAACGCGCAGTATGAATCCAAGGATCTGAGGTCGATATTTATAATTGGATTTTACGTTTTTGTTTTAAGATCGAACTACGAATACCGACCTAAGTATTTACAAATGTAGGAATACGGAGAGCACTAAGAATCCGGAGACTAAAAATTCAAAAATCCAGGAATCCAAGAATTCTTCGCGTATATCATCGTCTTTATCCTTTAGTTTTAACAATTAGAGACTAAATGTCTTCCCGCAATAGCGTTACGATTTCTGGGAACTCTATAAGGATTTTTTTTTCCATAAATTCTTACTTAAATCTGCATCAATCCTCGTTTCGTAATTATTATTTTTTAAAATGTTTTATCAACTATGTAGTTATATTATATAGCCATACTTAATAATCCACTTTCGCAGTCTCTCTATTTTTCTTACATGTTTTCTACTATCGTTTCCCTTTTTTCTTTCACTCTGTTCCTTTCTCTCTCACTTTCTCACTCTCTATTTTCTCTCTATCTCTAGCAACACGGTAAACTCGCGTGACTTTGCTCACGATTTGTTTTTTTTTTGTTTTGTTTTTATTAGCGAGTTTGTTTTCTCTTTCATTGAAAGATTTGAAACGGACGGTTAAATTTCAATGTATTTTTCATTATTTTTTGTTTCTGTTTGTTGGTGAGCCGATGTCCGCTGCTGAAGGCACAAGGCTTTGCACTAGAACTCGGTCACCTAGCCTAGCTCACTCATCTACGACCTACTACCATAAACTAGCATTCATTGCAATTCAGCATTGCTTTCTTATAGGAATTGCTTCAAACATCGAGCGAGAGCGTATGTATAACGTATCAAGTAAATCATAATATAAAAATACATTTACGATGCTTTTTTACTTGATAAACAATGTTAAATGTAATGTGACGCGTTCTAAGTGAATTTTGGTAAAAACAAGTTATAAATAAATAGATTTGAAACTCCGAAAATTTTGATTTACCTATTGAACAAAAAATAAGATTCGACTTAGCAAGTGTAATCCTGTTTAAGAATTTTTCCGATGATTCGATTCAGTGAATTTTGTTTTTGACATTAGTATATACATCTGATTTTACTGCCACTATATATATATATCACTTCTAAAAAAGCGCAATTGCTCGAAATTCAAAACAATTCAACGAGTTTTCTCACTTTCATTCTACGCACTACTGCTTTCCTAAATAATTGATCGCCACACGCCATCTCGCTCGATTACTTTCGGTACTTCCATCAGTTTGGAACGAAAGATGATCGATTCGTCTCAAGCGTATCATTCGATTTCTTTCCTTAACTATCATATAAAGTTTAATCTTCGATCGTGTAACGAATGAGAGGAAGCCGACTTTAAATTTCGATTTATTCTTGATCGAAAATTGTGGGCAAATATTTAATGTCAACACGCTCGAACGATTTTACAAAAAATTTTTCACGTCTCGCGCCGATGTATATTCCTCTAATTTTTAATTATAAACGTTGCACATCAAATGTCTTCTCAAGCAATAGTCCGCAGATAATAACATCACATAACGACGTATATACATGTAACGGTTGTCATGTACACACACGAATTCCATCAACATCATCATTCGCCATACAATTTTCGACTTGATAAACGAATTCAAAGTTGATTTACTCTATATTACTTAAAATATATTTTTTTCCTTAATAAAAAAAATATTATGTATTCCCGTATTTCTGTTCAAGAACAGGTGAATTAGAGTTGTCTTATATCAGTTATTACTCCAAAAAAAGACATCTTACACAGTACTCCTCCAATAGGTAAATATATTTCCGCGCGCATCTCTTTTCAGGACGTCCCATGACACATTGACGAAGATATATATATATTTATATGTATGTATGTATAGATATATGTGTATATATAAACAACAAAAGATACAAGCATATAACGAACTTTTTCTACTTTGTCTCTCGTGTCACACGCAAACACTATATATTCATAAAAAAATTATTATGTACAAAACAACTTCTTGCCTTGTGACATGTAAGCAAAGATTGATACATACACTCAGCTTTCCACAGCGTATTCTCTTGAAAAATATGTACATTTCGTAAAAAGTTTATTTCATCAGCCCATCTCCTTTCCTTGCGGGAACGCCCTGAACGTATTCACGATCTGTATTAATAAGGGAAACATATTAATACACAGTGCCACCAAGACGCGCTATCCTGCTGCGGTATAGATCCCTACCAATCTTTCAATTCTAACTATCTAACTTTCGCTCCAGTCTCTCTCTCTCTCTCTCTCTCTCTCTCATTCTTTCATTTTTCCATTTTTCACATTCGCTCTCTCAATTATTTTGACTCACACACGCGCATACACACACGCGCCTGCTTCCACAGTCTCTCCCTTCCCTATCTCTGGTATAAACAATATACATGCTAGCAAGATATATTATGTATATGTAATGCGTGTGATATAGACTCTCTATGGTATTGGTATGCTTGTATCATAGGGTTTCTTTTGTTGAACTTTGCGCTTTATATTTTTTTTTTTTTTTTTTACGGGACGCTGCTCAACAGCGTCTCCACTGTACTGGGTTTCGTTTCGCCTTCGCTTTGTTTACTTACGGCCAAAACTTGGGAGAATGCTATATTACTGATGATTTAAAACTGTAAGATCCTCGAACTGTTTCTTCTCGCGAGCAACATCACCGTTTACTTAAAATTACTCGTCCTCATAGTTATTCGTGAGTCGCCTATTCTTAATCCTATTGCTACATCTTCTTCCTCCGGTTCACCCTCCCTCTTCGTCAGATTAACTGCACTTGCCGCTACTCGTTTTCTCAACAAATGACCCATCCGAAATATCGATACCTTATAATACAATTACATTTACATATCGATTATGTGTAAGGATTTATCCAGGTAGGGGATATAGCGGTAAAATGTAAATTGCAGGTAGCTTTCTTCATATACCTTCGTTCATACACCTCTGCATTCTATAAATCACAGCCTGGGCCGCACCACTGCCTTTCTTTCACAATGATATATAAATCTTTCGCTCTTGTTCCCGCTTCCTTTCCCCGCTCTCGTTTCCGGACGTTTCCAATACACGGGGAACTCTTCTCGCCCTTCCTTACTCCTAAGCCGGTCCCACGCAACTCGTGCGCAATAAGATCATTCACGCGAGGCGATTCACGGCAGTTGTGAACGAAAGAGATCTGGTCAGCTCACATGGAACACAAATAAATTTGTCTCAATTTAAATTGAAATATATACATATGTATGATTGCTCTCTCTCTCTCTCTCTCTCTTTCTCTCCCTCTCTCTCTCTCTACTAAGTTATCCAAGCCTTATGCTGTAAAACTCTTGTCTATAGTTTACAATTAAAAATCAAAAAGGGGTATTTAACGCATAAGATCTGGATAGCTCAATGGCTCTTATAAAGAGAGTAACCATCTGAAAAAGATTCAAGTCCCGGTCTAGTCACTTATATATTTAAACTGTTTTTCTATACTTATAATTTAATATATAACGTGGAATTAGTTTCTCTACACGCTGCATGTTATCACTGCAGAATATATTGAAAAAAAAAAAGAAATATATGATATGCGTTTTATTTTTTATATATAAGAAAATATATGTTTATTCTTCAGATCGGTTACATTTGCAGGAGAGCGGAAAAAATATATTTTCTTATATACATAAAAAATAAAATACGTATGTATATCTGCGTATGGTTTCCGTGTCACTTTTATATCAACGTTTTGGACATTTTACTTCGCTTCAAATGATAGTTTTTGTTGACTCTGCATACATAACATATATGAATATATATGTTTTTTTTGCAGAAAGTAGATTTTATAACAAAAACAGGATTTGTGTGATAGCTTATAATATTTCAAAAGTTAGAGATAATGTAGGCCAAATTCGAGATAAAAATGTTATTAAACACTTTTATTACTTAATAAACGTAACATTATTAAGAACGACATAAGAAAATTTCAATAATTCAGTATACAAAAACATTTGTCCAGTACTAGAGTTTCAACTAAATATTTAATTAGAACAGTGATAATCGACAAAACTATAAGAGGCTACGCAAAATGTGTTTACGCAATCCGCTTTTCGGTAATACAAGTCATGTGCGTTTGAACTCCAAGACATCATTTGCCAGCAAAAGTCAAAAATTTCTCATGAATGTCGATTGGATTTATATAAGTTCATAAGTAAAAATAGTAAATTTTATAAAACTCTATAATTCTGACTACATATATATAAACAATTATTTTAATCAGAATTGCTTCCGAACTTCAAAATCCGTTTCACAGTTCTCTTTCATCACATAGATGCGATCGTTTGTATCTTATTAACGCCTTGCATTTATCTATCGTTTTTATACCTCGAAAATATTTTAATTTTCATACCAACATATCTGAATTAGTAAACAACAACCTTCTTTCGATCTCGAGTCACACGCGAGTGGTGTAGGTCCGGCTTTTGTTTAAGCTTATCTTTATGAACGTTATAAAGATCGATCAGTCCACAATTATCTAAACGTGGCCGATTATCGAGAAAGAACAAATGATCATAATGAATCTAGAACAGCGCCTGATACAATATATGTTGACTTGCGATGGTGAGGCAGTGGCATAGTGGTGCACTAGTACAAGAATTGCGCAGGCCGTTTTCCACGTCCATGCGTCTACACGACGCCGTTTTGCTTACGCTGTTGCTTGCTACTGCGACGTCAAAAGAGTTTTGTTCAGCCGACCGGCGCAGGCGCCGTTGATCGGCGACTGGGAAACTAGGGTATCACATCCCAGATTTCGGCGAGGAAAACTGGCAGCTTCTTATTCTTGAATTTCAGATTCAAGCACATCTGACTGTTTTGATTGCCGAGAGTTCGAAGCTCGGTCAGAACCGACAAGAGTTTAGCGAAGATTGTACCGGATGAGTATTCGTGACGATGATTATCCACGTACGCCTTCAACGTCTTTAAATATATTTCCTGCAGCTTTTCCACCTTCTTGCCTTCCACCAAATTGGGTCTCTCTGCAAAACGATGTTATTGTTGAATTTAACATGAGAATGGAATGTTTTTTTTATTAAAAATTTAAATAATCTTTCTCTTTCTCTCTCTCTCTCTCTCTCTCTCTCTTTCTCTCTCTCTCTCTCCCTCCCTCTCTCTCTTTCTCTCTCTCTCTCTCTCTCTCTCTCTTTCTCTCTCTCTCTCTCCCTCCCTCTCTCTCTCTCTCTCTCTCTCTCTCATTCTTTCATTTTTCCATTTTTCACATTCGCTCTCTCAATTATTTTGACTCACACACGCGCATACACACACGCGCCTGCTTCCACAGTCTCTCCCTTCCCTATCTCTGGTATAAACAATATACATGCTAGCAAGATATATTATGTATATNTCTCTCTCTCTCTCTCTCTCTTCTTCCTTTAAAGTAAAATCTTTCTTCTCTCTAAAATGTTGCATTCTTTATGAAAACTTATTTTGCGCGTATTTGCCTTCTCTCTCACATACGAACCTGAGAAAATTACAATAGCGGTGAGCAAAGCGTATTCGGCATTATTGACCTTCATTGCGTACATTTGCCGACAAAAATGTAAAAGATTATCGATGGTATCTCCCATTCCGGCAATGCTGTAGTTGTCGCGCGTGTACGACTGATTGTTTGCGAAAATTATGCTATCGCTCATCGCGTCGTACTTCCTCGCCATTCGCAGCATCATCACCTCGCTGGAGCACGCCTTCAGCAGTGTGATCTGATCCTCACGCATCAGCTCATTGAAGCCAGGTAGTCTTTTTGAGAATTCAACGATCAGCTGCACGGTCAGGATCGTGATTTCAGTGATGTGCCTGAAGCTGTAGTCACTGGGATCTTCACCGGCAAATGGTGAATTCTGGAAGGAAATGCGTAAGAAGATAATTAAACGAAAACTTTGCGATACACACAATTCGTATAAAATGATTACACGTACTAAATTGATTCTTTTCATGTCCTCTTCGCTCGGTTGCTCGAATTCACATTGAAAAGACACGAGCCTGCTTATCAGCTCCTCTTGCTCGGGACTGATGGGATTGACTGATGCTGCTGAAGAGTTCAGCGAGTATTTCGAATTATTACGTTTTCCGGAGACTGACTCGGGTTCGACCGGCTCGGTTTTCACGCTCATCTGATGATCGCCCATCCCGGCGCTACTCGGCGAACCGTTCATTGTCGTACTGTTCGGTTTGTCTTTTTCCTGCAACAATTTTAAAATAACGACAGTTACGAAATAATCCGTATTATAAAAAATATATGTATTGAAGAAAACGGTCTGTGTGAAAGAAACAGATCTTGAAAGATCTTGAGTCAAAGAAGACTGCCGTATATTCTGTGTTTTGTTATGAAAAAGTACTTTAAATTCACGTTCTCCGTTCGAAACGGAGATGTTCAGAAAGAATGCAGAGAGAATGACGTACAAAATGTAGCATATTTAAATGTTTGCGCTCTACCTTCTGCGCTTTCTTCTCCTTTCTTTTCACCGCGCATTGGAACTCAGGCACGACGCATTCCGGCCTCATGCCCACCGCCAGACACTTCTTCAGCCTGCACTCCTGGCACTTGCGGCGCATATACATGTCGATCTCGCAGCCGTTGCCGTACTTGCATTGGTACACGGCGTTCCTGGTGATGCTGCGTCTAAAGAAACCTTTACAGCCCTCGCACGTGAGAGCGTTGTAGTGATAACCAGACGCACGGTCGCCGCATACAAGGCACAATTCCTCCTGCTGCCGAGGTGTGGGTCCTTTTCTTTTCTTCGTATCGCATCCATCGTTATTAACACTACCGTTCGTTATCGAAGTTATTGGAACCTGTTGAGTCGGTTCTGAAATCAGAAACACGCATGTAAGTGTTATTGCATTATCGATTTAAAGATTTCGAATTTGAGAATTGCATTTCTCTGAAATTGTGCGCTTTGACTTGTCAATAAAGAGAGCACGAACGTTGCATTGAAAACCAAATGCAAACATGTGCATTATGGCATGTACGTGTAAATTTAATTTTCAATTTAATTTGCAAGACAAAGATATTTATAGATGTTTCGAATATATATCAATTGCTGCAAATAGAATTGTCATTCCAAACACACAGTCAAAAGTAATCTAAGTAAATAAACTAAAGGCTTTTACCAATAAATATGCAGATCTTCACGCAAGAGAATAATCTTCTCTTTTAATTTCACATTATTTTTTTCATTGGACGAGCCTACTGATTACTGATGTAAGTCAGTTTCGAAATTTGTTATCTTTTATCTCGAAGTCATTTCGGTCAGAAATTCTTGACTCCGATCGTGCAGAATCGTGAATAGTTTCATAATAGGTTTCTATGGCGACATCGTTACGCGTCTCCATTAACCCTTTTATTTGTTTCCATTCGCCGGGAAGAACGAGTTAGAAGTCATGGTCGGTGAAAGTATGAGCGAGACCATGTTCCACAGGTGTGCGCTATACCAGGCACACATATGTGCGCGCATAGATATAAACGCCATAAAACAGGCGAATGTAAATCGACAACGATAAACCTGGTTTGAAATCGAGAATTGATCATGACATGACATTCTTGGACGCGTTAATTTATTACTCGTGCTTTTGTCTTAGAAAAGCTCGAATTAAATAACAATTTTTCTTTGTGATTCGCAAATATTTAATCTGGATTACGAAACGTCTATGTGTGTATTCGTCTATTTTTTAAATATCAATACGATTTTCTAATAGTTTGTATTTAAACCGTAAGAACTCAAATTCGTATAGTCCATACAATTTTACAAATGTTACATAAAAACCTGGTATTGCACAATTTCTTTTTTTTAAATTAATTTTTTTTTAATTAACGGAGCAATTTTATATTTTATGGTATATTTTATTCTTATTACCACGTTTTATCGTATCTTTCAGATACATATTTGCCCATATATCCATGAGTGTGTCCTCGTTTGCAATTTTTAATTTTTTTGAGTTTTTAGAGCGAGAAAAAGGGTATCTAAAATATCTGAAGTTAACAACCAAGAAATACAAATAAAAATTTATAAGAGTCGAATGCTGATGTCAGTGTAAAATAATATATATGTGTGTGTGTCAGAATATCATGAATTTTACATGAATAATTGCTAATATATTACTTTTAAAAACAGTCGAATATTCTATTAAAGCATTCCCTTACAGTTTTTACAACTTTTATACTGTACTCACATAATTGCTCTAATTTTAACTTGTTTTTATTAAATGAAGATAATATACTTTTTTAAATTTAATAATAGCTGCTATTGAAATAAATTCGTTGCCACAAGAGTTTTAAAGGTCAATAATAAGCGCAACACAAAAAGCACTAGACATAAGTATTAGATATTAATTTTTTAGTTTTGAAAATTTTTTTCATTTCACATCTTCAAGTAGAATTACTCTTTTCTTGTTTTCACCAAGTCTAGAACACTGTGAGAAATTCAAAGTTTGAGTCGTGATTGGTATAAACTGCGTATTCAGAAGAACGGCGCGCAAACCGTTGCCGGCTTCAATGTTCTTCAGCGAGGTTTCCATGTTGGTTCGTACTACCTCTCTCTTACTAACGACGTAGCAGAAGTAGTGTGTGGTGATGGTAGTAGTAGTAGTAGCAGTAGTACATAGCAATACTATATAGTAGTGGTAGTAGGAGTGAGCGGCCTTGACTCTGGCTCTCTTGGTGAATGTCTACACAAGTGGACGCACACAGCCGCTCGTGTGTCCTCCTTGTTCTCTTGTCTTACCTAACAAATGGCGAGTTTTTCCCTCTCTATTTCTCCCACCGCGCCGCGTTCCGCACGCCGGAGAGACGAAAGCTAAAACGGGCCAGTGAGCACTACCTCGTTTCCTTCCAGAGATCAGCGTGGTAGAGCGAGCGTGCGAAAAGAGGAAGTGGAAAGACGTAGATGTATGTATTCGCTACAAAGCGGCGGAAGAGAGAGAAACAGATATGTATGTAATAATGTATATGTAAAATATACATTATGAGATGGAAATTGCGCAAATTTAAATTCAAATTACATTTAGTTAAAAAATTTATGTACGGATTGTCAAGGAAAACTTCTTCAATAATTGTTCTAGTACTAAAAATATAATATATTTGATGAATCGTATTCGACACGAGATATAACTTTGCTAATCGCGCTTTTGATAGTCGGACGATGTCTCATCCAAACTCCAAATTTAACTTGGCATTTTGTACGAGGCATTTAATCGCGAATCATGAACCAACTTCCGAAGAACATAGAGTAGGTAGAATGTCAGTCGTCAGACAGGTCGGCCACCTTTAAAGGTCGATTATCGGGACGTACTGTATTAATGCTTTCCTTTCTGAAGCAACGATGCGAAAATGATCATATCCCAGAATTTAAATAAAACTCAGAACTTTTGAAGAAGATCGCATAATTCTAAATTTTCTCATATTTAGACATTGGTACAGTTTCATCATTATTATTGTTCAAAAATTTAAAACATAAGTTACTTTATCTCGTTATTGAAACGAGATGACTATGAGAATTTTTTAAAAATACACAAGTTTAAAGACTCATCTGGAATATTCTGGTGTATAGATCCAGACTCATTAAAAAACAAATTTAATCTTATATTTTCAGTATAAAAAGTGCGCGATGACAATAGCGCGCAGTGGACATTGAGCTGTTTCGCGTTATTATTATATATCAAGTTTTTTTCTCGATTTTTCATTTTAAGTCTCATTTATAAGTTGGCAGCGATCTCTCTTCACGGAAGTTAGAGCTTTTCACGTACGTTGGACTCTTCGCGTACGTTAGAGTATAAGAAAATTATCGAGGTCAGCATCTTTCTTCGCTCCACTTTTCCATTATATCTCTTTCCTCTATATAGTTCTTTTTCATATTTACATACTCATTTCTCGCTGTTTTACAACATAAGAGAAAATATATTAATACCGACTACAAGTTTTATTATTGGTTTTATTTACTTAATTTAATACTTTTAATACTTCATAATATCTATTTTTGTTATAGTAACAGTGTTGCAAAAAACAATTTTATTTTTCTTGCTTGTGTTACGCATTAACACACGCGCGTGAAATATGGTTTCGAGTTGGATCCGCGTAGTCATTTGTTCAACGTTTCGCCAACATTTAAGTTCACTTCAAAAGTTCAAGAACACAGCTTCATGTTTTTTTCGCATAAGTAGTAAGAATAAAAAGAAATGCTCCGTAGTTTGATAACCAACAATACACGGGTTTATCTACGTGTTGAAGAGAATTTAAAAACTCGAGATGCATGAAGCATTATACGCATCACAGTAACAGTAGATTTATCGAAGTTGATATAATAAGTGGATTCTGTCGCAACTTTCACTGTCAACCGCGTCCTCATGCCCGGGTACCAACTATTTTAAGTCTAAAAACTTTAGGTTTCAAACGCTCTACCAGTTTTTTCACCTCTCATGTTAAAATCGCAGTTTTTCTAAAAGAAATGTGTGTAAGCAACTATGTATTTCTAGATGTATTCTATGTGTTTGCAAAAACAATTATTTCTAAGAAAGTGCAACCAAATGATCCGCTTAGTCGCAGAAATCTGAATTGCTCAGAAACATTCCTGAATTGCTTTGGGCGTTTCGCAAATGTTAAAGCGTAGCTTATATGTGTACATTTATTCGAGCTTCTGCAATTTATGGATTTTTTTAATCGTTATATTTCTCGATTTTCTTCGGTGTAAAGAGAGTCGCCTGACAGAAATGCCTGATAGAAATAACTCATTTGTTTGATGTCATCCACCTGTTACATACGGGTAGACAAAATTGGTAGATGAATGTAGAACTCCCTGCGTGCACATGCACTCACATACACAAACACACAAAAGTGTGCGCCCACGTAACACATATATACGTGCAAGATGCGCGCGTTGCGCATGTCGGGGATGTTGAAACGGGGCTGAGGCTGAGAGTCATCTAGCCGGGAGCTATCGGGATGGGTCACGGCCAAAGAAAAGAGGACAACCCTCGAGTACCCAGGCCAGACCCGGGATCAGACCATGCTGTTCTAGGCGGAAATTCGAATTATGGTTTTATGTTTTTTTTTGCTATTCACAAAAACTTCACACCATCTTTTCATCCGATATCTTTGATGGTTAGGTTAGGTTGGTTACATATGAATGCATATATTTTTCATATTTTAAATAAAAGATGTTGTTGAAATTATACAATTAATGTGATTATTGTTATATGTGACGTATAGAAAATAAATCTCTTGTATTTTTTAGAACGTGTGTGAGCAGAGCAATTATATTTGAAACAGAAATGCATCCGAGAATCAAGGTCCAATATCAGTTCACGTGGAAGTAGCTCTGACAATAACATTTTGTCATGTTAATTTCCAGGACAATTAATCCTCGTCTAGTTGGCCGCTTTCAAACTGCTTTCCCACGAGGAACGTATCAGAATTATCTAATTTGCATTTACTTCGTTAATAAAACAAATGATTCTCGGGACGTAGCGTGAGAGAGAATGTACGTTAACTACCGTACAATATAAATATTAACCAGAGCACATTTTTCTCTGTAGATGAAAAGAAACACATATATATATATATATGTAAGTATATATAAAACATGATGTTTTTATAGAACATGCTGATGTAATGAAAGTAAAGTAAATTATGATAATATAATAATCACTTTTTTTACAAATTTTACAAATTAATATTTTTAATATCAAAATTACAGCGACTATAATTATTTTTGACTTTAATATTTTTTGTTTTAATAGCATGTATAAAGTTTCAGTTAGCTAACTTTTTGATCAATTATCTTTTAAAAACAATTTGTGTGTAAAAAAAGCAGAA